TGCGACTTCGCCGTCCTAACCACCGAGACCTCGGACCTATTCCTATAAATCAAAGGTTAGAAACTGATGGGTGGATTCCCTTGCAGACCTTGAGAGAGGGTATATTCTCTCAACTATTTTATTTTTTAATTTTATTATTCCAACTACGTTTTCTCCTTACATCAGTTGGTATCAGAGCCGTAAAATCTGCACTAATATGGAGAGCCTTGAAATCTTAGAAGATGTTCGAAGCAAAGTTCGTGACATGAATCAGCAGTTGCAACGATTGGATCAAAGATTTGAGAGACTCAAATACGACCTAGTAAAGCGCATTAGCAAAGTAGTAGAACAAGGGCTACGAGATTTATTTCATAGATTGCAATCAGAACAAGACAAAGAATAATATAAAGAGGTAGATCTCGATACAAAAGGCGACGCCGATAACCCAAATGTACAAGAAATTTCGAATATTAATTGTAAAGAAAAAGAAGAAATTTTGAAAATCAATTATGAAGAAGAAGATATGTGTGATGCAGTATTCGAAATCCAACCAAGTGAATCTGAAGGAGAAATCAAGTTTGAGCCCGAAATCATTGTGTTCTACTTCGAGATAAGCACGAAGCATTCGATGAATCGGTTTAATGAAGAAATTGAAGAAAAAGTACCGAGGAGCATTGTGGGCTTACATCACCAATTATTAGAGCTTGATTGGCTTCAAGCTCAAGGTCGAGCTTCTCATAACCCGAGGAGAATGATACAGATAAAAATTAGGAAAAATTTATAATTGAAAGTTTATTATTTTTTGAATTAATCTCTTTAGGAATGGGTAGTGTGAGTTTTTAGAGAGGGTAAATCTTGGTGTGATTAGTTTTTTTTTTTAAGCTTATCTTAGATTTAGTGAGACATTTAAGGGAGATATAAATATGAGAAAGATATGGGAGGTTAGTTAGATAAAGGATAAGGGGAGTATATGAAGATGGGGGGAGCTTCCTTGATTCAAGGGACTCCACTCCACGTGATGGGTAGAGAGAAGTTTAAAAAAGGAAGGATGAAGAGAGAGAAAATAGGGAGCTTGGGAAAAATGTGGAACTTAGAGAGAGAGTTTTATGGTTCCTTTTATTTCTTATTTTGTATTTAAGGGAAGGAAGTCCCTCATTGTAAAAAGCAGAGAATGAGAATTGAGTAAATTTAGTATTGTGAAAAGATCGTTTTTAAGGTGAATTATCTTACAGATCTGGAGAGAGGGTATATTCTCTCAACTTTTTTTTTTTTTCTTTTTATTATTCTAGCTACTTTTTCTCCTTGCATCAGTTGGTATCAAAGCTGAAATAATAAAAATCAAAAAAGAAAATGGTTGAGAGAATATAACCTCTCTCAAGGTCTGCAAGGGAATCCACCCCAAAAACGATCTTTTCACAAGACCAAATTTACTCCATTCTCATTCTTTGTTTCCTTTACTTAAATACAAAATAAGAAATCAAAGAAACCCATAAAACTCTCTAACTTCCATGTTTTTCCCACGCTCCCTATTTTCTCTCTCTTTATCTCCATATTTTCTCTCTTCCTCCTTCCTTTTTTAAACTTATCTCTACCTTCCCTCTACCCATCACGTGAAGTCCCTTGAATTAAGGAAACTCCCCCCATCTTCATGTACTCCCCTTATCCTTTATCTAACTTCCAATATCTTTCTCATATTTAAATCTCCCTTAAATCTCTCACTAAATCTAAGATAAGCTTAAAAAAAAAACTAATCACACCAAGATTTACCTTTCCTGAAAACTCGCACTAACCATTTCTAAAAAGATAAATTCAAAAAATAATAAAATTACAATTCTGAATTTTTCCTAATTTTATCTGCATCAGAAACCCATCTCATGCACTAATATCTAGTGACAAACATGGATCGCATAACATCTAATGAAGTAGATGCATCACATAGGGGAGTGTGTGCATGCAAGACATCACTCACATCTTCACACATTCAGGATGATGACATACAATGGCATTCACGAGGAATGGTCGTCAGGGTGTCAGAACCAAGACGTGACATCACGGGTTCCATTCCTACCAACTATACATCTTTGTTGACATGTCAAAAAAAAGGTTTCTCTTAATAATTTTTATTTATGTACTAAAAGTTGAGTCCAGCTTCAAGGAAGACACAAGTGTCTCTAAACATGCCATGAGAATTGCTTTAGTAATCTAGACTCATATCCCACAACATCATCTACAGATTGTCCCTTAACCATTGTTCAAAAAAGCGGACCACCCAGTGCCTAGGCGGTACGTAACTCGCCTAGGCGGCTGCCCAGGGCCTGCGACCCGCCTAGGGGAGGAAATTTTTAATTTTTTTTGTTCTATTGATTTTTTTTTTTAAACATAAAGGGTTTTTAAGGATGGGTTTTAAATTCATTTGAAACCTAAACCAACAAGAACCCATTTTAGAGAGAAAGAAACCTCAAAAAAACTAAATTTTGTGATTTTCATTGGATCGAAGTGTTTCTCAAAGTTACGAAAAACGGATCCAAACAACACCCAGATAGATTAGATTTAGTTTTGGCGTTTTATAATCCTATTAAAGGGTGTTTTTTATAAATTTAGCACCTGAAGACATCTCAGAGGTGGGAGTTTGGAGTTCAAACAATCAAAATAAGTGCAAAACTTTATTTTTTAGATTGCTTGCTTTATTTTGAGATGTCTTCTTCAGGATCTAGTCAAAGTGGATGCCCGAGTTGGAAATATGGATATAACCCGAATCCAAATAACAAAAATTGCATTAGATGTAATTATTGTGAAAAAGATACAAAATGGTGCATAAACCAGTTTAAGAAACATCTTGCCAGTATTAAGAGGGATGTTGCCCTTTGTAAAAATGTTCCTGAAGCTATTAGAGAGGAGATTAAGCAATATATGAGTTCTGTAAGACAAAAAAAGGAACAAATCCTTGTCATTTGAATAGATTTATTTTTGCTTCTTCTAGAAGAAATGATCTAGGTTGGAAGTATGGTTATAACCCAAAACCAAATGATAAAAATTGGAAAAGGTATAATTTTCGTGAAAAAAATACCAATTGGGGGTATTAACCGATTCAAGAAACACCTTGCTGGTATTAAAAGGAATGTTGCTTCTTATAAAAAGATTCCTAAAGCTATTCAAGATTCAAAATGAGATTAGAAAATTTTTGAATTTAAAAGAACCAGAAAATGATGAAAATGAGCCTTGTTCTATGGAAATATCTTCTCCAGGTTATTCTAAAAGTGGTGATCCTGGTTGGAAGTATGGTTATAACCTGAATCTGAATGACAAAAATCGTATGAAATGTAATTATTGCGGAAAGGATACTAATGACAAAAATTGTATTAAATGTATTTATTGTGGAAAGGTTACTAATGGAGGCATTTACCGGTTTACAACACACCGTGTTGGTATTAAAGGGGATGTTGCCCCATGTAAAATTATTGCTGAGGCTACCAAGGAGGAGATTATATAATATTTGAGTTCATGGAAGCACAAATAGATAAAAAAGGGTAGAGCAGCCAAGACTCCTAGGGCCTCATCTGCACATACTAATAAGAGGGAGGTAGAAGAAAAGGAGGAGGAAGAAGCAGATTCAGAAGAAACAGAGGAGGACGAACGTTATATTGAAGAGGGGATGATGATGGCTTCGAATCTGATGCATATAATGAGGCATACCCTATTCCTTCTGATGATGATGACTGAAGACTCTTGGTACTGAGTATTGAGTGTTGAGTGTTGACTATTGTGTCCTAGACTGTATAGTTTTTGAATTTCTATATATTTTCATTTTCTTATTTTTGGTTTCTACTTTCTAGTTTCTAGTTCTATTATCTAATTTTTGTGTGTACAGTCTCCAATGTATCAGACTATCAGTGTCTACTTGTATAGTTTTACTGTTTTAACATTGTATGAAAATTGACAAATGAAAATATGGATAATGGTCTCAAAAAAAATATGGATTATGGATTATGGTCTCTTGCAGATTATCAAAATTCTCTTCTCGATTTCTATCTTTCTTTTTTCAACTGGTATTATGGTCTTATGGATTATCAAAATTCTTATGAATTATGGTCTTATGAAATATCAAAATTCTTATGGATTAATCATTATCAGACTATCTTTTTTTTTTTCAACTGGACCGCTCAGGTTCTAGGCACCCGCCGAAGCACTGGGCAGCCTAGAACCCCATGGCCGCCTGGGTGCCGCCTAACGCTTTTTGAAACACTGCCCTTAAAAAATTGTCACTTTCCTTTCGGAAAATATATAGGATTGTGGCTTTGAGAAGCATAGGACGCTAACTTGCTTAATATCAACAGGTCAATATCATTTGGCTTCTCTTCTCTTGCTCAATTTCATGTTTGTTTGAAAAATGCACATGCTCCAGTAGAATTTCTAGTTGCACTAAATCTGTCCTTTTTTGAATTGTGCAATTGTGTTTGACCTTCAGAACACATACTATTTATTTCATGACCATTTATCTTAAAAAAATAAAAAAATAAAAAATCCTAATGAAGAGCAGTTGCTGCAATCAATTTTTTCAAGGGGTGACGGAATTCATTATTCCTAAAAGAGGAAATGACACTCCCAGAGGCTATGTCAAATTCCAGCAAAGCAAACCATACCAGATTGGTGACAGTCAAATGCACATAGTGTTAAAAACCCTGAGTGAGAACTACAAACGCAGCTGTGAATAATAAATGAAAAATAACAGATAGGCAATCCTTAACATTACAAAGGTAGACGTAACACTCCCAGAAACATGTAAAAATTTTCAACAAGTAACAAGAATTAAGCAACAATAACAACAGTAATGCTAAACAAGCACCTATGACAAACTATAAGACTCGCAAATACCAGTGGTGATGTTTTAAATGTATCATAGCCGTATCATAGCCTAGAAGAGAGCTAAAGGTGTCGGTAGCATACAGTATCAACAATGCCACATTGCAATCAATTAAAGAACAAACTAATGAGAAGGTGCACAAAGCACAATGACCAATACAACCATGAAAGAAAGGCGCAATACCTTGATGCCAAAGGAGGTCATATCAGGCTTAACTGCCATTACATCCTAGTTGCTCCCATTAATTTTGGTTTTCTCTCTGCAGGCTTCAAAATTTGAAAAGAGCACATCAACGTTTCATCAACACTCATCAGTGCACCTGCATTATCAAATTCGCCACAGTAATTGGGCGCCGAGAATATTGTAACAAGTTGTCTATCAGCAAAGAATTCATATCCATCCTCAACAACCTGCAACGATAAGAATTTGTCATCACAACCATAAAACTTTAAGAGAAAGTTTACTTCATTAAATGGAATCAGACAAACCCATGGTCCATTTGGGCCACCATCATCCGATGAAATGATGGATGTCTATCGAGAGAGATAGATCCACCAGAACAGGACATGAACCCAACAATGGCTTTTGGGGTCCATCTCTGGCCAGTGCCATCTACCATTTCATCGTGAAGTATGCAATCGATAGTTCATTCAGATTGTAGTACACTTCTCCATAAGATTAACTAGGTGTGATATACAGGTCAAGAAGAACAAGAACAGCTATTACCTGATGAGCACGACAGATAAGATCCAAATCATGCTTTTGAAGAAACTCTGACACTTTATCAGGCCCAAAGGTGTAAGAAACACCTCTATCATTCATACCCCACCCATTATCTTTACCAGGGTCCGACCAAAGCAAATCACAAAGCAAACCAGCGTCCGGAACATCTGTTGGACGAGTTACGCTCTTAATCTGATCCAAGTTAGACAAATCTGGTGAAAGGCCACCATGCATGCATAGTATCTTTTCGTCTATAAGCGCAGCTACTGGCAGGCAGTTAAAACAATCAGTAAAGACCTTCCATAATCTGACATTGAAGCGGCGTTTGCATTCATCATAAAACCCATATATCCGATTTATAGAGGCACATTCATGATTGCCTCTCAAGAGGAAAAAATTCTCGGGATACTTAATTTTGTATGCAAGAAGGAGGCATATTGTTTCCAGACTTTGCTTGCCCCTGTCTACATAGTCCCCTAGAAATAAGTAGTTTGCCTTTGGTGGCAAACCCCCATATTCAAATAGCCTAAGTAGATCAGAGTATTGACCATGTACGTCACCTGAAAATCCAATCATGAGCCAAGATACCAAGTAAGAAGTCGTGAACTTTATAAAGCACAGAAAACAATTCATCAAGGAGTATGTAAACTTCACTTAAAAGGATACAGAAGTTTAAACTATAAGAGCTGATAAAATGTTTGCCAAAAAAACACAAGTTTCCACAATTTCTACTGCTTGACAATTCATAGTATTTCTGAAGAAGTTGATCCTCTGGAAAAAAGAAGAGTCTTACAAAATCACTGAAGTATCACTATATCCTTGAAACCACCATCTAAAAAGAGACAATACATTGGAGGCAACTAGCATGTTAACTAGACCTGTGATCTTTAGATTCAAAGTACTTACACTAAATATTGATTAATTATAAAGAAAAATTAGGGTATTTCTAAATCTACCTCCAGATGCCAAGAATCATGCAGAGTCCAGTATTTCATTCCTAGGAATATTTCCAAAGGGAAACATCTATTGCACATGGCACAGCCAACACAATGTCATGAGTTCTGAGTAGCTAAATTATCTGTACCATCATTGCAAGAGATCCATAACAGATCAGCGACAACGGAAGGGCACAAGTCCAATTTACAAAGAAATCCTGTATTTTTTTTAATAGATTCCAAAAATTGTTCAAGAACTTTGCAAGCATACAAGCATAGGATTGGGACACAGACAAGATTTTATTGCAAAGCAACATCGGAAGACAGTTCAGATCCTAAGTTGAATTTGCTTTATCAACAGAGAAGAACCATCGCATGTAAAGTTCAAATTGCACAGTTGATCATCGTAAGAAATGAATGGAGAATAAGAGAAGCATAAAATAATAGAACAACAGTGTTTTAGTAATCAAAAAATATAGCTATCATATTTCCAGTTAGGCCACAACAATCCCATATAAGGTAAAAGTTCCACCAGTAGTTCCATACTACAGATACAGATGCGACCAAAACTTCAACAAACAGATGCCTATATATTTCAGTAAGAACACACGGTTACATCCTTCTCCTTTCTTAGAAGAGCCCAATCAAGCCCGGTAAACCTCATAGAAAAAATAAAAAAATAAAACTTAGTAGCCATCAATTTCTTCAAGAACACCAAAAAAAAGGAACAAAGAAAATATAAAATTTCAAATTCGGAATGAATACATCAGAAGGGATTTAGGGGTAGCTCTAATAGGCCATAAGGTGAGGGAAAGTAAACTTACGTGGTCTAACCATGTGTAGCTTTGATCTAGAATAGCATCAGGTAGGAGAGGTGATTGGGTTCACGTGGAAGGCTCTAAATGGAAGTAGTGAGAAGATATAAGTGACTAGGTGGTCTGACCATGTGCAGCTTCGATATAGAATAGCATCAGGTAAGAGAGGTGATTGGGTTCAAGTGGAAGGCTCTAAATGGAAGTAGTGAGAAGAGATATAGTGACTTATGGTCTGACCAAGGTATGGCGCTTGATAGAGTGGAATGGAACATGATTCTTGTAGCCGACCCCAAATAATTGGGATAAGGCTTGAACGATTATGATGATATGATGATGATGATGATGATAATGATAATGATCTACAAATTCCAATAAGAAGACAGAAATCACTTATAGTTGAAAACAGAAATACATGCCACATAACCATAAATTGAACAGCCTTCAAACATATTGTTATTCCCATTTCCCATCTTTCTTCAGAAATTTTGAAAAATTAAACAATATCCAGACATCCAACACATTAAGAAACTTAAGTTTCTCTAACAGAATTCCATCTGTTCCCCCAAAAATCCTCAAATTTGTAATTACTAAAGGCAATATTCTACTAGTAAAAATTAAGCTGATACGCAAATATCTAGTTTGCAATCACAATCTGCACAAGACAATAGTTCAGACCAAAAGAAGCAGGAGCTAACAAACACCCACTATCAATAATTAAAAGAACCCCACATTCTACATAAAAACCACACAGAAATAACAATGAAACATAAGTCCCAGTATTCCATAATCAAACAAATACACGGAATTCTACCAAATTATACATAAGGAGAAGAAGAAAAAATAAAACAAGAACCACAAAATAGTCAAACAAAAATACGCAAAGATCAAGCTAACAATCGGAAACCAAAGAACCAGAATGACAGCCATAAGAGAGGAAGATCCATATGAAAATCAAGACAATTATCACCATGAAAAGCCATGACTTTACCACAAATCTTGATAGGAGCTTCAAGCTCCAAGAGCGTAGGTTGTTGCAGAAAGATCTCTCTAGACGTCATGGCGAGTTGCCTGATCTCTGACTCAGAGAGCTGGACCTGCTTTCCAGGACGAGCTCCTCTAACCTCTAAGAGCCTGTTGATTATATCATCTAGAATTGCAGGGTCCATTCTCTGCCCCTGTAGAGCCATTCCTCAAAGCCTGAGCATCAAACCCTAGGTCGAGTTGTCACACAATTATCACAAGCGTCCGTAACCAGATAAACCTCAAATCCCTATCTCTTCCTCTCTCTGCAGACGAACCAAAGCAAACGCTAAAAACCACTCTTTTACTCTCAATCTCTTTCCTGTTGAGCCTAATAGGCAATTGAAAAACTAGAAAAACCCTAAATCCCTATCTCTCTCTCTGTCTCGCAGCAACTAAGCCTATCCAAACCCTAAATACTCCTGATGTAAATGTGATCCCCCTTTTCCCTCTCTGATTTCCCCTATCTTGTGTTCTCTATCTACTGAAACCGAAGATCTTGAGGAGATATATGAAGACGAGAAGACAGAAAGTTAGAGAGAGAGTGTGTGTGTGTTTAGAGAGAGAAAGAAAAGACTGAAAATGCAAAGAAGGTTACAGAGAGAGAAAGAGTTTAGAGTGAGAAAGAGGAGACTGAAAACGCAAAGAGGGTGTGGAAATGTCCTTGGGCCCTTGATTTTAACGTTTCGATAATTTAGCAGGAAATTCTCTCTCTAAAACTCATCCTAAAGTTGAACCCTGGTCTTTTAGATAATTACAGTGTACCCCCTGATCTCGTATCGACGAACAAGCGCATAGGGGCTTTTAGGGAATGACGTTAATATAGGTTAGTAGTATATAAATACCGTGAGGCCTTATTTATTTGGCAAGCATACCCTTCGATGGGGCCAAGATTCGGAAAGGAAAGAATTTTGCGTGGAAAAATAAGATGCACACTTTTGATTTGATTTTTAAAAAGGACACGATTTCTATTTGGCCAACCCGCGTATTGTTGAAATGTAATTTTGGCAATAAATATATTTTTTAAATATAATTTGATTTTAATGTTTTGAGTATGTATAATCTTTAATATGGAGATCATGAATATGAAAAAATAAAAATAATTTATATTAAAAAAATATTTTACAATTGTTTTTTATATGGACTACCTATTTGCATCCTCTTTAAGATAAATGCTTTATACCTTTAGACCGTATATTGTAGAAATGCGGTTCAACCCACATGAAACCATTTTCAAAGGAAAATGGGCATGTAATTTTCGAATATGATGCACCAAAGAGCATTCACCATTGATTATCGTTTATCGATGGTGTAGATCAATGGCAGTGGCATCCATGGGTAAATAACGGTTTATTACTTGTCACTCTCTAACCACAGTGTCCCGCTTCAATGTCTTTTAATCATTTTGGTCAATCATCACTAGTGCAATTTAATTTTTTTATTTTGGATGAGGTGTGTATAAGGTTGCAATCTTGAACAATCAAAGTATGGCGCACCTCTAAACTTTGTTATAAGATTCAATTTTGGTGTCGAAATTTTTAAGATGTCTCAAAAATCTATTTTCATCTTTAATATATAAAATTTTAAACTCCAAAAATAGTTCAAATCAAGTAGATTTATAAACACATGAAAATTTTGAAAATAGATTGTTCAGATAATTTGTCGCAAGATGTTCTATTTTAGAGACTTGAAATATATCGACGTCGACATGACAAATTAGATAGGTTTTCCAATATCAAAATACCCTTTTTAGATGGAGTTTTGAGGTGCATCTTAATTCTACAATTTAAGGTGTCAACCTTATATGAACTTTTTGCATTAATATTTGTCTCCCTAGATTGAATCATAAAAAAATTAGGCAAGTTAAAAAAAAGACAATATTTTCAAAAGTGGCTTAAAAACATGGAATGAATCAATCGAACAGTTTTAGATGAATAAAACAAAGTTATAATCTGTTGAGTGAGCAGGCAACAATTTTAAAATGAGGCCAAAAGAGTCACTGTATAACTCTGTCATGAGTTAGGAGCATTTAAGGTCATATTTGACAATTTAAAAAAAAATATATATATATATATATATATATATATATTAAACAGAACATATGTTACAGATGTTGCTATGGCCCAATATATGCAACGATTTTATTGTGAGCATGGTACAACAAATCAGTACTAGACATAGGAATCCAATAACAAATTATAAGAATAACAATCCCAAAAAGGTAAAATTTAGTGTTAGGGACAAAAAAAAAAATACCTCACAACATTTGTCCATCTAAATTACTGCACATTGAGTACATCAATCCAACAACAAAAGACCCCAAAAAGTTAAAATTTAAACAAACTTATGTATAGAAAGATAAAATAATAGAAGGCTTATTCATATTATACATTTTGTGTAAGCAAATCCAATTAGTTATGCTTCACCACCAATTCCCAGCCACCTAAATGGTCAACTATGAGTGAGTCACTCTCTCCACTACCTCTACTATCTTTGTGGAGTAGAATGTGTTTGGAAGAATACTGTTGAAAACTTTGGAATAATTGGTGACTGTTGGAATAAAGTCTTTTTGGAGGAAATGCATTTTTATGGGGACCATGCTTGTGAAACTTTTGATCATATTATCAAGAATCTTTATTTTGTTTCACTTTTAACATGCTTATCTCAAATCCAAGAGGGAAATTTATCAAATTATCTGTTATAGATGAATAATTTAACACCTTAATAATATCTTTTATTTTGATTTCAAAATGCCAATAAGTAACGAAAAAGTTTGAAGAAAGTTGCACCTTATACTATAGAAGTGAGGCACAACTCAAACATTAAGTAGAAAAGAGTTTTATGAAGTACGTTGTCAAAAAAAAACGAGTGTTCTGAAGTTGAAAAACCTTTTAAGTGATCATTTCGATCTCGAGATGTGTAGATATAAAGAAAAAAAGAATTTTTATAGAGAAAAACGAATTCCACAATCCTGAAATTATCTGCTTCTCAATTAGTGTAAATGATATTACACTAGCTCAAGACTCACAAGCAAATAGAAAGAAGAAGAAGAAGAATCAAAATGAGGTGGAAGAAAAACTAATCTTTTATTCAAAGATGAAAAATGGGGTTGGCATTACAATCTTGATACACCCAATATTAACCTTAACACATGTGACCCCTATTTTCTTACATCTTTAAATAGAGGTTTTTGACAACCATATTTACTACAATAAACTCCCAACTCACAACAATAACTTCTAACTTACAACAATAGCTACTAACCACCTAATAGTTTTAAAATTCCTGCTACACAAACTTACAAGTGCAACCTCACTGTATCAGTCATGATAAAATAAAATAAAGACCAATGCAATTTTTAGAAAATACACTTTAACAATTTTAATACTTCATCTTAAAGTGAATTTTCTAGAGAGGATATCATGATTGGCTAAGTGTGATGCGATCATCTCCATCACTTCCTGAAATAGAAAATCCAACGATTTGACAAGTCATCAATGAGATACTCAAATTCCACCAAGGATGGTTGCATAACCCACCCTTGAGTAAGAGGTAATATTGGGAATATACTCTCTCTTTAGCCCACAAATGATGCACCGCTTCATTCGTGCTGCCGAAATAGGTTCTTTCGGATCAATGAGAGATCTCCAAATATATATTATTGATCTTTAAGAAGAATTGGGAAAGATAAAGACCGCCTTGAGTTGAGTTCCCAACTCAACAATAAAACCGTTCAGCCTTCCAATTCAAAATGACAATTGATCTTCTTCACAAAGGGAGTCAAGAAATATCAACACAACCCTTGTGGCTCTAATACCATGTAGAGAAGACGGATTCTACAATCCTAGAACTATCCACTTCTCAATTGGTATAAATAATGTCACACTAGCCCAAGACTTAATCAAATAGAAAGAAAAAGAAGAAGAAGAAAAAAAAGATCCAAAATGAGGAGGAAGAAAAACTAATCTTTCATTCAAAGATGAATGAAAAATGAGGTACATAAAGGCATTACGATCTTGACACCCAAGATTAATCTTAACACATGTGACTCCTATTTCTTACTCCACACCTCTCTTTCAATAGAGGTTTTTATAACTATATTTACTACAATAACTCCCCACTCACAACAATAACTTCTAACTTATAACAATAACTACTATCCACCTAGTAGTTTTATAACTTCCTGCTATACAAACTTACAAGTGCAACCTCACAACATCACTGATGATAAAATAAAGTAAAAAGTAATACAATTTCTAGAAAATACACTTTAACAATTTTAACATTTTTTAAGTCTTGAAAATAATTCATGTTATAACAAGTTATTTGGATCATCTATTTTCAAAATTTTCAAATATATTATAGAGCTGCTATCTGCTTTATTTTTAGAATTTCAAATTTCATATTTAAGGTTGAACAAGATTTTTCAGGTGTAGGTTTCCAATATGAGAGCTACATTTTTTGACAAAATTTAGAAATGCAACTTACTTTGTAGAGTATAAGGTGGGCACCTCATACAAACCTCACCCCATAAACAAACACATAGTTTTCAGTTAGAATAGTTCCAAATGAGTAAAATGTGAAATAGTTAATCTCATATGGATATTTTGATAAATTTCCTAAGCCAAAATTCAAGCATTTCATTTTGAAGTTTTAAAGGTTTTAATTTGTAAAGACATGGAAAAGAGGAAAGAAGTCCCTTGGAAGCTTATTTGAAAAATAATAAATGCATTGCATCAAAAAGTCGCATTATCTAAAGGAAAATGTTTTGATAGGGCTGCAGTCCGTTCAAAACAAGTAAAGCCTCACCTCAAAACTCACAAAAAATTGCATTTCTAGTGTTGGACAACCTTCAAATAGATCATCTTGGCCTTGGTCCTTATGGTTGTAAAAAAAAAAAACAAATGATTTCAAGACAAAAAAATGGTGTATATTATAACAGATTAACTAGATTGTCCGTTTCACCTGAAAACTAAGGTTCAAGGATCTGTAAGTCTGTACCATTTTTTGAGGTGCAAAACAAAAAAAATTAGGATTTCAAGACCAAAAAATGATGTATAATATAACACATTAGCTAGATTGTCCATTTTACCCGAAAACAAAGGTTGAAAGATCTGTAAGATCTGTACAATTTTTTTAGCATCAAATTTCATAGTCGGTGTTGGAAATTAATTCTAGAACCATCATGGAGATTTTTGATACCTAAAGTGCTTCCGGATGATGATTCGATAAGGGTTTATAAGCCTAGGTTTTATTGAAATTAAGATCCTCATTTTAAAATATTTTGAATAACTACTATTTAATGAATTTCAAACTAGAAACTTTATCTTTCTTCAAAAATTCTATATTTTATTCCGAGACTTGGTGACTATAATCACAACCCACTAGTGGTCCCTTTTCTTTGCAAAATTTAATATATTGTTTCACCGTTCACATGTTAAAGCAATATCTATATCTATTTAAAACAATTAATTCAATTTAATAAGGTTTCTCTTGGTTAGTATCGCATTCTTTAAAGGCAGATTGTCAGGTATTTTGTAGTATTTGTTCATAACTATTTTATTCAAACTACATGATAGAGATGGGGATACTTGGTGTTATTTTGCTATTGGAGATAAG